AAATCTGAAGACTACCGAAGAATTCTGGGGTGCAACGTAAGGCCTAGGGTCTGAAAGCTGGGTCTTTGTCCTGCTGCAAGATCCTTGACATCTGACAATGACCCAAAGCACACAGCAAAAAGCACCCAGAAATGGTATAAGACAAAGCGCTAGAGAGAACTGAACTGGCCAGCAAGAAGTCCAGATCTCAAACCCACACAGCACCTGTGGAGAGATCTCAAACCAGCAGTTGGGAAAGAGAACACTTCCAATCCAAGACCTAGAGCCATTGGCAAAAGAATGGCCCAAAATTACAGTAGAGAAATAACTCGATGGTTATGGGAAGCGATTGACTTAAGGTATTTTCCAAGGAGTGTGCTACCAAATATTAAAAATTGGAGGGTGCCAATAATTTTGTCCAGTCCATTTTTGCATGAAATGTGTCAGATTTAATGTTGTGTATATATTTTGTGTCATACTAAAAAGGTTCAACCATTCTCATGATTTTCTTTTGATTGTGCAGAAAATTGTTGCAATTACAAAGTGGTGAATGTCTGACAGAAACGCAGGGGTGTCAATATTTTCAGCCATTACTGTGTGTCCTTGCTGAAAGGATTAAAAGGGTACCAAACAGGACCAATCCATGGGCACTCACCATTCCATGTCACCACCTTGTAGGCCCAGGAGGGGATTTCCTGTCTTTTGCTAGTGTCCAATCACCTGAAGGTGGCAAAGTAACCCTATCACAATAGATATCAATATACACTGTGTCCTGGGCTGCCCTCATCAGCCACATTAGGTACACCTGTTCAATTTGGAAACAAATTGCTAATCAGCCAATCACATGGTAGCAACGCAACACACTTAGGTATCTAGATGTGGTGACGACAACTTTTGCAAACCAAGCATCAGAATGGGGATTTAAATGACTGACCATGGCCTGGTTGTTGGTGCCAGACAGGCTGGTCTGAGTATTTCAGAAACTGCTTATTTACTGGGAATTTCATGCACAACCATCACTAGGGTTTACAGGGAATGGTCTGAAAGAAAAATACAGCGAGTGGCAGTTGCGCAGATAAAAAAAACACATTCTCAAAGGAGAATGGACAGACAGGTTCGAGATGATTAAAACATTCCTCAGACTTAGGCAATACTAACTCCTGTCAATATTGACCAACACCTTGTTGAATCTATACCATGAAGAATTAAGGCAGTTCTGAAGGCAAGAGGGTCCAACCCATTAATAGAAAGGTGTACGTAAAAAAATAAGGTGGCTGGTAGTGTATGCTAAAAAAAGAAACCGCCAAACAGATCACAATTTCACACTATGTGCAAAGCCTCCAAGATCACTATAATACTGTAGTTTACAATTAACTGAAGTGCCATAAACCTGTTTGCACACACTTGTGTATGGATTATGACTTTATTCCTATCATGCGCCATTAGTACATCAGCTATAGTAATACTGTGTAAGGGGGGGGGAAAAAAAAAAAAAAAAAAAAAAAAAAAAAAAAAAAAAAAAAAAGGACTACCCTTGTACATACCACAGCTCAGTGGAGCCAACTGCTAGAGTGTAATGAGACCTGCATATCTTATTCTGGGTCACAAACTCACTGGGGTTTACTTACTAAAGCTGGTTCACTCAATCTTGGTTTCTATGCAGAACTGCAATCAGCATCTATGTTTTATTGTCAAAGCTTAACCACTTCAAGTCTGGACACTTTCACCCCCTTCCTGTCCAGGCCAATTTTCAGCACCATCACATTTTGAAAGGCAATTGCACAGTCATGCAACACCGTACCCATATGAATTTAGCAATTTTTTGAGACAGAAAGCTTTATTTTGGTGGTATTTATTCGCCACTGGGATTTTTTATTTTTGCTATATAAAATGAAAAAAAAAACTAAAAATTTTTTAAAAAGTATCTTATAAAATCTTGCAAATAAATACTATTCCATCATAAATCTTGGCCAAAATGTGATGTTATCTTTTTAGTTAAAAAAAACCCCCAAATTTATAATCAATTATTTTTAAACAATTTTTTTACATACTGTCACCCTAGCAGTAGTGTCACCATGGTGACACTACTTGGGGGGATGGGGGTTCAGATTGCTTTTACACCCATAAAGGCTGTAAAAGCAATCATTTCTCCTCAGGCTACATTCTTGCAGTCATTGAGAAATACTGTGAGCTGTGATTGGTCACAGCTTGTCACATTACAAGGCTGTTGTGAATAGCCTTGTACCATGTGACCTTTTATCATTCACAGATTTCACACGTAGTAAGAAATGTCAGAAGTGACATCTTACTACTCTGCATGTGATCACTGATTGGCCAATCAGTGATCATGATCGGGACCTCGCACATAGGTCCCGTACGACGATCGATGTTCCAGTGTCTAGAGGACACCGGATTGCGGTGATGCACACTCCCAGGGAGCACGCACAAGCAGGGAGGTAGTTTATAAACAGCCACCCGCCCCTGCACTGCCACCGTCCAGCTGTTTATATACAACGGCCGGATGGGAGGTGGTTAATTGAACAAGCTGAGGTTAGAAGCAGATTGGCTATCATGCACAACTGCACCAGATTAAGTGAACCAGCTTTAGTAAATAAACCCCAAGTGTTGCTCTGGCAGTCCCTTTACTGCATAGCTTAAAGTAGAAGTTTCCATAGAGCACTTAGGATGTTCGAGTTTGCTCAACGCTGAAGTTTGTCCCATGTGACACCCTTGTCAACCTGCACTCTTAACGTGCCAGGACTTGAATGATCACCCTTCTAGCCATGACTAGCCTGCTGTTGTAGCAACCTGTAGGCACAAATTAGCTTTGCTGCACACACCCACCAATGAAAGGTCTACAAACGTGTGATAGCAGAAAAGAAACTGCCTCCTCTTTCCACTTGCCTACAATTGATGGATATCAGAGCTGCCACCAGCATTAGACTTAAAATGGTAATAAACCATTAAAAAAATTATATATACACACACCTGCAAGCTAAAGGGCATGTTGTGCTAGTATGCTTCACATACCAACACATTTCAAGACTTTCCTTAAAAAGGAAGCCCTCCAGCAGTGCACCGTCACGCAGAAAGGGCTTCCATCTAAATATAAATCAAGAAAAAAAGATGCTCATTTCATAGTCAGTGTTCTGGTGAAGTCAGCAGCTAGCTTCAGGGGAGAAGATAGAGTGCCAAAAACTGATAGAATGCATGAGGTGACACTACCCTCTCTGCCCTGAAGCTGGCCACTAGGAACCAGAATAGGCAAGAACAAACATCTTAGAAACTAGGAGTTGGGGTTTAGGGGAGCCCTTTTAAGCTTTGTTAGAACAAGCCTGGAATTCCACTTTAAACAATGTTTCAATGGGCTTTTAATATGGATCTTTAACTTACATTTATTTAATCAAGAGTACTGGAGATCAATCAGCAATGCAAACTCTGGTGTTATATACGGAGGCTAGAAAGGGAGAAAAGGAAAGCAGTGTTGCATCGCTCAAGCCATTCCTATAACATGCTCAAGACATGGGTAGCTAGCTGGGGAAAGCCTTACCAAGACTAAAAAAGCAGAATGTGCAGACAACACTGAAGACTGGCCAACAGTGTTGAAACTCAAACAGGAAGGATCGCCAGGTATTTACTCAATACTCTTAAAAAAATGCAAGCTCAACATAGTCAGGCAATATTTTGTAGCTAAATGTAGCGACACTAACCACATAAGCACCCCTCTTTCACGGTTTCATATTTTTCACATTTCCATGCAGACCAAATAGTCCAGTGACAACAATTGGAGCAAATGCTGCCAGGAGGTTATTTCAATGGTCATTTATTCCTTTACCAATGGTACTAGAGCTAGCAGTTTCCCAGTGTTCTGTGTTCCAACATCCAGACAACAGTCTGCATATATATAAAAAAAAAAAACATACAAAAAAAAAAAAAAAAAAAAAAAAAAAAAAAAAGGCATTTACAATGGTCATTCAAGTTTAGGCTGTATTCAATTTGCTTTGATTGCATTTAGCATAGACTGAGTTGTGTTGATGCATATTTTTAACACATTGCATTGATGTGTGGGTTTTGTGCCCAAGTGGGAGTCAAATACTTTAGGGATGATTTTTATTGTCAAAGTTCAATTGTACAAAGCTTAAGATAGAAGCCAATTGGTTACTATACAGAGCAGCACCAGTTTCAGTGAATTTCCCTCTGTTTCAGCATGTTTTATTTTCAATAGGTTCAGCTTTATGTTGCATTTATGTGCTGGGTGAAAATGGAATCCAGCTTACTGCATTCAACTTGTATTGAGCAACACATCCAAATGCAGTCCACCCTTAGGTGTGTTCACAGCTAGTCTGAAAGATTCCATACACAATGAGCTAACCAGGAGCAGACCATGTTTTATATACACTGGAGGCACCTCATCCACTAGAGCAGTAAACCGTATTGACAGGTGATCTGTGTGCATTTAGATGCATTATAAAGGCTGATTTCACATGCAACACAAGACAGACTGAAGCATGTCCTAAGAAAAACAAACAGTCTGCTGAATCCTCGAAGTGCACAAACTAAAAAAGTTAGATAATTTACATCCTGCAATTAAAAGCATCAGTGGGCACAAAAATAATTTAGTTCAGAACAGAGCAATCTGCCATTATCAGGAACTGGGGTATTTGAAATACAACTTTATTATGATCTAAACGAAAAATGTATGGGAATGACAGTAACAAACAAGATCACCACTGAACATTGTGATGTGACTGTAGCAGTCTTAACTTAGATTTGAAACTTTTAAAGGGAATATTATTTGCAGTCCCAAACAGCTAGATACGCAGGTCCAAAATATGAAGGATTTAATTTTTCTCAACTGCCACATTCACTCCAAAGCCCATTCATCTCCTTCAGCATCCCAAAAAGGTTAAGCACATGTTCTGCTCAGCTAAATAAAGTGGCAAACACGCTGCACCACTGACATCACAGGACAGTTGCCTATAAAACTAGACTTCTGACTCTGGGCTTGAGCTTCATTCACCTCACAGATCATCATCTTCATCTGGCAGTGCTGTGGTCTGGGCAACCTAGCAGGGGAAAATAAATGAATTAACCACTGAAAGTTTGTTTAAAAGCAACAAATTGGCAAACCCAAACTGCTTAGGATTTTAAAAAAAAAAAAAAAACCAAAAAAAGGGAAGATTTCTTACCTGTAGATCAACCTCATATTGTGCAGCCAATGTGGGATCCATAACCACTTCAGGTGGTGCAAGAGCAGGCATGGCTACAAACTCAAGATTGGGATCCCCTATCAGTTTTCTGGCAAGCCAAAGGAAGGGCTTTTCAAAGTTGTAGTTACTCTTCGCAGAGATATCATAGTACTGAAGGGGGGAAAAAAAAAAAAAAAAAGTGCTAAACATTAGACCACAATACTACTCAAAAAGCATTTTTTTTTTTTTTTAAAAATCTATATATCTAACAATTTCTTTCCTTACAAGCTAAGAGCCCTTGTATATACAAGTCACATTCAGCACTACGCCCTAGAGCAGTGGTCGGCAAGCCGCGGCTCGCGAGCCACATGCGGCTCTTTGCACATTTTAATGCGGCTCTTCTGTGTGCCGAGCGCCCGCTCCCCTCCCTCCTCTCGAGCGGCCGAGGACTCTGCAGCTAGCCCAGCAATGATTGGCCAGTCTCGCTGCCACTCACATCCTGATAGCTAGTGATTGGCTGTCAGGATGTGTGTAGGCGGGGCAGCGTGACGAACGCGAGGGGAGCTAGGCTCCTCTCACAGTCCGCCCTTAAGACCGGAACGGCGCGGGGAACACGGCGAGAGGAACTTGCGGAGCAAAGGTAAGTGAATTGACACAGGGGGGACTTTGCTTACTACTTGCTACTTACTACTACTATATGAGGGATGAATTGCTATATGGGGGATGAATTACTATAAAAACTTATTGAAACTAAAAACAGTGTACCATCCTATGTATTTTCAGTTTTAAAAATGTGGCTCTCAAAATAAATTTCAATCGTGGTTTTGGCGAGATTTGGCTCAGTTGAAAAAAAAAAAGGTTGCCCACCACTGCCCTAGAGAAGCACTCCGTACCTAAAAATGCAGAAACCCAAGGTTGATGTGTTTTCTACATTTGCAGTCAGAATGAGAAAACCCCACTATTTGGCATTTCCCTTTTACACAGCATGCCTACATGGGGAGGGGGATGGGAATTACCCGATTGCATGGATTTCTAAACAATGTCAGGAGACTGTTCTAAGAGCAGGTTGAGTTCATTATTAACATACAATGCAAGAAGCCCAGCTTCCAAAAGCATTAACCCTTAAGCAGCCATAAATGGCATTGGATTGAATCTCAGTTCAGCAGGGATCAGCCAAGATTGAATCTCAGTTCAGCAGGGATCAGCCAAAATTCAATCCATATATGGGCAGGGAGATTGAATCAACCAGCATGTGGTATTTTTAACACGATAGCCAGTGACTATAGCCACTAGTGCTCCCCAAATCCCCGCCAGCCCGAGAACACAATAGCTCCCCTGTTAACTGGTTAATGAAGACTGCCATAGCTATCCCTTTCTGTACTGAGCACAAACATCTGTCCAGCTGCTTCAAAGAACGGGTAGTATTTACAGCGCTGGAGTTCCAACAACATTTAAAAGCTTTTTTTTTTCTTTTAAGGTTATGCAATGTGAATGAGAACCAGCAACATAAAGGCGGCGTTAGATTTTAATTCTCCAGGAGAGAAGTGGTAACTCATCCCATCACCACCCCTTTCAAGAGGAAAAAAAAAAAAAAAAAAAGTTTAGTACACATGCCCACCAAGTAGAATTTTACTTCACACTTCCCCAAACATTGCATGCTACTGCCAGGACCAAGGAGATAAAGTATTAATGTACTATTTAAAAAAGGAAAATAATGTTTCATGCCAAGAAGCCAGCCAACCTGAAGATTCTTCTTCCTATGAAATACGATTGATTTTGCTTTGACTTTTCTGTCCTTAATGTCCACTTTGTTGCCACACAAGACTATGGGGATATTTTCACATACTCTTACAAGATCTCTATGCCAATTGGGTACATTCTTGTATGTGACTCTTGATGTTACGTCAAACATGATAATGGCACACTGAGCTGCAAAGTTAGAAAAATATTGTCAGTTGTGCTAAAATTAGCATAACCATTTAAACCAAAAACATATCAATAAAGTTAAAAGTTAAGCAAACAATCCATTATGTATTTTAAACTGCAGATTAGTATATATCCATTCTTAAAAATGTACTGCATACTGCCTTACAGCTAAGCAGGGTGACACCACTAACAATTAAGTTAAAACCAAAGCAGCCAACCACCCATTTTTGATAAGGGAGGGTTATAACAACCAATTCCCTCTACCTTCTGTCTCTAAGCCACAACAGCAAGTGTGAGGAAAATTGTCTGAAGTGTGGGAAATTCTCACTTGTCCCCATTGGAGGATTACATCACTCTTCCTGTTCTGGTGACCACTGCAAATCTTCGATGGGGACACAAACCACAG